GAAACAGGGTCTTTAAAAAGGCAATGAAGGTAAAATGATTTTGTGGAGGTGGGCTGTTTGGTGATGAGACTGGTGTCCTTACATGAAGGAGAGGTTGGGTCATAGACACACGCAGAAGGAAGATCATGTAAAGACACGGGGAGAAGGTGCAACTGCGACTCTCTCTCTCAGGAGAGAGCCCTCAGCAGAAACCCACCTGGCTCACACCTTGAGAAATGAATTTCTGTTATTTAAGCCACCAGCGTGTGACATTATTTTATGATGGCCCTAGACACTGTTTGGGCTTAAAGACAGAGCTTGCCCCTGTGTGCTTATTGTAAAGGGAGTTGGCAGGATTCATCAGCTGTCATTTGGGGCATGCACACCATGAATCACAAGTGATGGGGAACTGTGCTTTGCTCATAAGCCACATCCTTGCTTGGGGCAGGAGGTTGACAGCCATGAAGTGGTGAGACCTTTGGTAGGGTCGGGGTGTGGGAAAGATTCACAGGCTCTTCCTGGGATTATAGGGAAGACCAACAGAGATCAGCATCGGGGCCTTAGTACCAGAGCACAGCATATCTGCATGGCCATCCGGGTACTACGAACATGATGAGGACGATGGGAAATTATATACAAAAGTCTTGGTTCTTCCCAGATTCTCTAAATCCATTTCAACTCCTGATTGCACCGAAACACAAAGAGCCCCCAAAGTGACCACCAATGAGTGTTTTGCCTGCCCTGAGCCATTGGGTCACAGAGATTTGTTTTGATTTAGGAAAATTAAAGCATGGGACTTTTGTAGTTTTTTGTTTTGCATTGCATCACACATTCAACTGGTGGCAAGTATTTTGTTGTTTATGAAAATAAAAAAGAAACAGTCTATAAAAATCAGAAAATAGAGAAAATATTTTAAAATTTATCTGTGAAATCACCATTTGAAAATAAACACTCTTATTTAACATTTTTTTTGAGTTTGCAGTATGTATGCATTAAAAATAGTTACACAAATGAGATGACATTCTAAATAGTCTTTATCCTGTTTTCATTCAACACTGTTGGGTGTTTTTTCATGTAATATAATACAACCTTTCATAAGGACCATTTGGACGTTGCATGCTACTCTGTTTAAAGGAAGTGCCTTAGATGTTTTAACTAATCCTTTATTATTGAAAAGTTAGGTTGTTTCCAGGTTTTTTCTCTTTAAGTAACATTATGATTATCCTGATATAACTTTGTGTCCATCTCATTTCCTGAGAAAGTTTACCCAGAAGCCGTTCTGTCTCTTATTTCTAGTGCAATATTTCATTCTATTTTTAGAAAGTTGCATTTTCTTAAACCCATTCTGAACCCAAACATATTTCTCCCAAGAACCCTTACATCTTCGTGACCTTTTCTCCCCACCAAATATCCCCACAGACCCTCATTTTGAGATTGCTGAGAGCTGTCCTCGCAGACAGTTAGCAAGATGATGAACACTCCCATTCAGTTACTGGAATGAAAGAGCTTCCTTAGCCACAGCCAAACTGACACTCCCTAAAATCCATCCATAAGTAAGGTTAGGTCAGTTACTTGTTTTCTTCCACATTTGGTCCTACCCTGCTATTGCTGCCTTCATAGGACCTATGTTTTGTTCAAAACTGCCTTAGGCAAAAAGAGCTAGAAACTGAGACCTGGAGGAAGAGTGAAGTCCTGCATTATGATGGGCTAAATGGTGTTACTTTTTTCTCTTTCCTGGAGGAGTATGTGTCTGGGGAGCCACTTCTACAAAGGGGCTTCCTCTGGGTATGTTAGTTATTCAGAGTCCCCAAATAACTGGGATAGCACCAGAGGATGCTTTCAAACATAGCGCATCCTCTCAGCCTAACTGGCATCCAATGCATCCTATCCCCGAGTTCTCTTCTTGTCTGCCATTTCCACCTGAGTGCTCAGTTTACGATTTCCCTGTCAGCTACAAATTCAATTAGCAATGAGCTAGGAAATACCCCTCAATGGTATAATAGCTATAACAAAGAAAAGTCGCCCTTTGCTGTTTTGTGGTAGAAATGTTGGCTTGTCAGGGTTGATCGTTCATGGAAGATGTGTTTGTCCATCCCTGTCCAGCTCAACCCACTTGGACAGACCATGCCCTGTTTTCCAGAGTCGGCGCCAAAGGTGCATTTTCTTTCTCAATTCTGATGAAAACGTAACAAGGGCTTTTAGTTTTAGGGATCAGATTGAGAGTGATTCTCTTTGAAGCTTTCACAAAGCAGGCAAGAATTTCATACCATTCTGAGTGCTGCAGGTGAAGAATTTAACAGTTGGTGGGAGTGCAAATTAGAGCCAATTATAATTTGATTGACCTGCCTTGACAATAAAACTGTCTTCCCTAATTTAAAATGCCTAGCAGGATCCTCTCTGTCCTGGTAAGGTGGTGATTTCAAACGAAGAGCAGCTCAAACTGGGAAATTCTTTAACAGTGCTGACAGTAATAAAGATTTATTTATATAGTACTTTTTTCCCACTTGGATTTAAAGGATTAGGTTCAAATTGAAGACTAGTACAGTACGCACAGGAATGAGAAAGGTCTGGGCTTGGCAGAAATGTATGTCTAAAGGAGGGTGCAGCAGGAGGAGAAAATTCATGAGTATTTTGGAAAGTTTATAAAGAAACCGGAAAGGGTCTCAATTTCAAGATGGGATGCCAGGTGTCATAATATTTATAAAGAAACCAAGTCTAGAATTAAAACAATTTATTCTTCGAAATTGTTTTACCATGCTGTAAGAAGAAAGCGCTTTTTATTCTTGTGTTTGATTTTAGAAGCTAATTCATCCTGTTACCTTTTATTAAACAGGTCAGACAAGGAGTGCCACTGCAGGTCAGACTCAACCGTCTCATTCCCTGTTTCTTATTCACACTAGCTTGAGTCCATTGAAATATTTAAAATTTATAAAGAAAGAAGTTGGTAAGCCCACGTTTTTTGCTCTGCCTTGAGTCAAATCTCTGGGTCATTTGATCTCTAACTCTGGATCAGATCACCTGGGCCTCTTGGAAGCAAGTGCTCAGATTGGAGACTAATCTCTGATGACATCTCTGCACTTAGGATGGACTTGACCTTGGACCCATTGTCCTCCTTGAGTCTCTGTTTTTCATCTGAAAAAATGGAAACAATGAGACCTATCTCATGGAATATGGTGGTAATTAGGGAGGTACTATACACAGAGTAACTTGGCACAGTCTGGGGCCTGGACTAGCTCTCAGGAAATGGTAAGGTCCCATTTCTCCTAGTCAGGACCTGTTTCACCTTCTCCATCACTGAGTTTGCTTAGCCTTCTTTCCTTTTTCTCTTGCTGCTCCCAGTGAACCTTCTGCAGTGCCCTGCAGCAGAGTTGGGGAGAGGAGATGGGCAGAAGAAGGAGCGCTATACTTGCCCCCTCCAAATCATATAGAAGACCCCCCCTAACTAAGGTTTCACTTCCTTTAATTTCAGTTAGATATAGTCAACAGTGGTCTGAAAATATTAAATGGAAAATTCCAGAGAAAATGATTCATTAGTTTTAAATAACTTTTATTGTAGTATACTATTATGCATCTACTATTTTATTATTAGTTATTGTTAATCTCCTATTGTGCCTAATTTATAAATTAGACTTTATCAGGTAGATATATATAGGAAAAAAAAACATGGTATACATAGGGCTCAGTACTGTCTGAAGTTTCATGCATCCACTGGGGTCTTGGAATATATCTCCTGTGGATAAAGCAGGAATATAGTACTTGGGCAGAATTTCATGCCATTAACAATGTTCTATCTGTTGATGAGATTCTATCCTAAGAATATTATTTTGACACATTTTATGTTAAACAGGGCTCCAAAACCTAGTCTTTTTTTATCATACAGTTTATATCAAAGTGAGCAGAAAAGGTTAGGAAAAATAGCTGTGGCAAAGACCATAAGCTGTATTTATAGGAAAGACCTTGGATGCTTTTAAGTTTGGATACACTGTATAGACATGGGTTCAACCAGAATTTTTACTGCTTTAAACTTTATGAGAAGTGAAGTCCCCAGTGGAAACAGAAACCTGAGTTCCAAACAATCAATTTAATACTCAAACTTTTGGATTATAGCATCATGAATGATATACCACATATAACTAAACTTCATGTGAATGACTTCAAATCATCAGGAATTATCTATTTAAGGAGGCAAAATAAAGTGCATCTGTTTGTAGAATGGCCAGCAGTCATAATATATTGAGAACTTTATTATTATTAATGTGGCTTCCAGAGTCACTTCCTATAAAAAAAATGCCACTAATAAAGATCAGCAAGGCGACATTTGTAGGCATTCTTGAATACATCCTTGACACTGAAATTTCTGATGGGTAACACATCTGGGGTTTAGAAAGAATTACCTATAGCAATAGTAAACCATGAGCAAGGATCCCTGTAACCAACTCCTGGAGTGTAGCCAACCCCCGAGCAATAAAATGATTTCTGCAACCAGGCTTGATTGGGTTGGATCTGGGCAGATGATGGAGGGGGCAGGATGTGCAGGCAGCTGCTGGCTGGCGAACTGAAGCGGGGTATGCACAAGGTGGGCAGACAGATGCCATAATGACCCACTAAAGAATAACCACATGCAATACAGTGTAGCGGTGCAGCTCGGGGGAAACAATGGCAGCAGATGGACAAAAACCTGGCACACAGCAAGCAGGGAGAGGCAGCTCATTTATTGCAAAAAGCCCTGCATGACTCAGGGAGGGACAGGAGTTCAGACCCTTACCAAGCCTGTAGACAGCAACAGGCCCAGTGAGCAGCCTTCATCCTTTCCTAGTATTGATCGACTGCTTGTTATGCATAACCCACTTGGCTAGGTGCTCCGCAAATGCAGGGACACACACAGGTTCAGTGACTTCCAGGAGTTGGCAGTCTAATGGGTACGCAGTGGATTTCTGCTTGATACCAATTGGGAGTTATGTTGTAGTTACTGATACCACTGGCATTTAACATTCTTCAAAATCTGCTTCTTCTTTTCCTAGCCCGTGGATGGCATGACTTCAAAAACAAAGACGATCGAGCTTCGGGGGAGAAGATTGCAGGCAAAATTTGATGAGTCACATCTCCATCAAGTTTGTTCCAATATTGTCCTTAGGCTACGACTGTCCAACGAGGGGATTATTCTTCAATTTATAGCCATAAACACAGGGTCATTTCATGATGTATACACTGCATTTTTTGCTTTATCTAAAAAGACATTTGTAGAAGAGGTATTGTAGTTTCCACAATCACAGGACAACCCCATTCTGGGTGCATGTGTACACACACACACACACACACACACACACACACACTACACACAGGAGCATTCTGGATTATATCTTATATTCTTTGGTTCCTGAGTAAGCATCCTTCATCACCATCATAGTCATCATCATCACTGTTTTTCCATCTAAAAACTAAGCAAAAAAACCTAAAACTAAAATAAAACACTCCTATGAGTTGCATACTTGGACATTGCTTATAAGGCACATTAAAGAGAAAAGGGGATTGAAATGCAATGTGAAGCTTTTATATATGTAGACATCTTATTTATCGCATAGTTTGTAAGGGGGATAAGGAGCTGAACCATGGAATCATTCTACTCACCTCTGGGTTTTTTCCACACTAGAACATACTGACATGATTTGAAATAGTTCAACTTTAACCTATAGGCAATAGCACGAAGACAAGCACCTATAAATCAATGATTAAAATAGGTACACTTCGGCATGTTCTAGTTTGGCTGATTAGTCTTGCCTATAATATCACATCACCCCTGGTTTGGTTATCCTCAGAAAATACATACATAAAGGTGTAGATGACTCATGAAGGTCATTTACAAAATTGTTTTCACAGCTTTGTAGTCAGAACTAAGCCATTTCCTAAAATGTAAGTGAGCAGCCTGCATTTCACAATGCCTAGCTGTAGGTATTAAGTCTATATAAAGATAAATGATGGATTTGTGACCAAGAGTACTTTCTAATTATAAAAAGTTCAAATAAAAAATAATGGAATGTGCCTAATTTCTTTATCAGCAACAAAGAAGTCAGAGACAACCAAAATGACTGACTATTAATGCCTTATCATGGGAATAAGTTTGCCAATCTCAAGTGCTGCAGAGAGAACATAAGGGAATCGGCTGTAGATGGGAGGAATGTGCAACCATTTTGAAGAACCAATTTGGAACATTCTAGAGAAAGCTGAAGATTAACTTATAATTACAGTTTATAATTTTTTAAAAAAATCACTCACTCTTTGACATATGACCTAGAATGAAATTTGCATAACCAAGGATACATGTGTAAGTATTTTTATCATTGTATCTAATAGCCCAAATTGGAAAGAATCTAGTCATGTGTTTTTATAAAGGATTACCAAACAATGGTGAGAGCAAATAAACCATAGTTACATGTTATCTACACTGGTGCATTTTATAGGCCTAAAGCTGCTTTTAAAATGTAAATTATAGAGAGGGGTGCATTGGCACAGACCTGTAATCCCAGTGGCTCTGGAGGCTGAGGCAGGAGGATCACAACTTCAAACAACTTAGTGAGACATGGTCTCAAAATTTAAAAAAATAATAAAAATAAAAGGGCTGGGGATGTAGCTCAGTAGTTAAGTACCCCTGAGTTCAATTTCTGGTACCCATCCCCCAAAATGTATAAGTCATAGAATTCTGTGTATGTTATCAGGTAATTAACAAAAAGCATGCAACACTATATATTTATATACTATAATTTGGCAAGTGCTCTACCACTGAGCCATATCTCTTTAGCTCCTGAGAGATACTGAGAGATACAAGACTTACTATTTTAAGTAAGTCTTGAAATCAGTGTAAATCCTAACAAGTTTGTTCTTCATTTGTTTTCAAAATTCTCTTGGCTATTTAAGATACTTTGTATTTCTATAGTGATTTTAAAAAATATTTTTAGTTGTAGATGGACACAATGCTTTATTTTGTTAATTTAGTTTTATGTGGTGCTGGGGATAGAACCCAGGGCCTCACACATGCTAGGCAAGTGCTCTACCACGGAGCCATACAAGCCCAGCCCTCCATATTAATTTTATACCAGCTTATCAATTCCTACAAAAAATGTTTGCTGGGATTTTGATAGGAATTGTGTTAAATCTAAAGATCCATTTGGAGAAATTGACATCTTTGTTAATCTTTTAATACAGGAATGCAGCATAGCTCTCCATTATTTAGTTCTCTTTTACTTAAATTTGTACTTTTTAATTCAAATTAATTTCTAAGTATTTTATTATTCCTGATGCTCTGTTAGTGCAATTATTTTCTTTATTGGATTCTTGAATTCATTAGCGCTAGTATATAAAAATGACAGTTACACAGTTTGGTATGATGGTCATATAACTTGTGATATTCCTAATTCTGTTTAGTAGTTCTAGTACCTTTTTTTGCAGATTCCTTAGACTTTTCTACATAAAAGATTTTGTCTGCATATACAGATAGTTTGGCTTTTCCCTCTGTACTCCTTCTGTTTTATTTGTCTCATTTCATTCCACAGTGTATGTGATGGAAACACACATTATAGAAATAAGATATATATATATGTGATGGGAATACACATTCTCCTTTGATACCGATATTAGGATAGCTTTCAGTCTTCAACCACTAACTATGATGTTAGCTGCATTTTTTAGTACACCCTTTATCAAGTTGAGGAAATTCTCATTGATTTCTTAATTTGTGAGAATTTGTATCATGAATATTTTATCAAATGATTTTTCTGTCTCTACTGAGATGATTAATATGTTTTTAATTTTCATTCTATTGATTTGATATTTGACATTAATTGATTTGGGGACATCAAAATAACCTTACATTCTTGGGATAAACCTTGTTTGGCTACTGTGTATGATTCTACATATGTGCTTCTAGATTTCTTAAGATTTTGTTGGGCTGGAGTTGTGACTCAGAGGTAGAGCGCTAACCTACCATGTAAGAGGCACTGGGTTCAATCCTCAGCACCGCATAATAAAGATATTTCATCCACCTATAACTAAAAAATATTTTTTAAAAAAGATTTTGTACATTGATACCCATAAGGGATATTGGTCCATATTGTCTTCTCCCATGCCTTTTTTTTTTTGGTACTGGGGATTTAACCCAGGTGTCCTTAACCACTGAGCCACATCTCCAGCCCTTTTGATGTTTTATTTTTGAGACAGAGTTTTGCTAATTTGCTTACGGCTCACTAAGTTTCTAAGGTTGGCTTTGAATTGGCGCTCTTCCTGCCTCAGCCTCCAGAGCTGTTGGGATCACCCATGTGTGCCACCACACCCACCCATAGCATATTTTTATTGTAATGCCTTTGTCTGGTTTTAGAATTGGAATAATACTGGTTTCATATAATTCATCTGAGAGTGATCCCTCTTTGACTATTTTCTTTAAGAATTGTAGGATGGGTATTATTTCTTTCTTAAATGTTTGATAGGATTCAGCCATGATGCCATCTGTTCTTGGACTTTTGGGGGAGATTTCAAATTATTAATTAAATTTCTTTACTTGGTACAGGTGTACTGAAAATTCTCTTTATTCTTGAGCCAATTTTGATAATTTTTCTTTCTAGGAATTTGTCTATTTCATCTAAGTTGTCAAATTTGTTGGCATAGGACTGGGTTTGAAGCTCAGTGGTAGAGTGCTTACCTAGCACATGTGAGGCATTGGGTTTGATCCTCAGCACCACATAAAATAAATAAATAAATAAAGGTATTGTGTCCACCTTTAATTTTTTTAAAAAAATATTTTAAAAATTTTGTTGGCATAAAGTGGCTCATAATATTCTCTTATAATCCTTTTAATTTCTGTAGTGTCTGTAGCCACGTTTCCTTCCTCTTTCCCAGTTTTGGTAAACATTGTCTTCTCTATTTCTTGGCCAGCCTAGCTAAAGGTGTTTCCATTTTGTTGATTATATGAAGGAGTGTACTTTTGGTTTCATTGATTTTCTTCTATTTATTTCTTCGACTTTTCTCTTTCATTGACTGCTGCTCTGATTTTTATTATTTTCTATTACTTGTATCTAATTGAATTTATTTTTAATTTCTCAAGATGGAAATACATACTGCTGATTTGAGAATTTCACTTTCCTTTCAAATATAAGTGTGTAGAGCAACAAATTTCTCTTTAAGCTGTGTTTTTGCTTAAAGAGCAAAACATAACACATAACAAAACATAACAAAACTGAACACATAGATTTTGATATACTGTGTACTATGGTGGGGAAAGTATTTCTGAAAGGCCTATGTGTTAAAGACTGGATCACCAGCCTGTGGCACTCTTGAGAAACAGTGGAACCCTTAGAAAAATGGGGCCTAGATGGGGGGTGGCGGGGGCTGGGTGAGGCATACCCTTGAAGGGGAATAGGGACAGGAGCCAATTCCTCTATCTTTTTCTCCCTGGCCACTATGAAGTGAGGAGCTTTGCTCTCCCACACCCTCATTACCACAATATGCCACCTGGCCACAGGTCCAAAACAAGAGAGTCAGGTGATCATGGATTAGAACCTCTGAAACTGTAAGCCAAATAAACCTTTCCTCTTTATAAATTGATTACCTCAGGTATTTTGTCACAGTGGCAGAAGGCTAACACATCATGTTTACATTCAGTTTATGATGTTTTCTAATTTCCCTTGTGATTTATTCTTTGAACCATGGGATATTCAGAAGTGTGCTGTGTCATTTTTAAATGTGTGGAGATTTCTAAGATTTCTTTCTGTTATTGAAAAGAATGCATATTCTGCTATTTTGAGGTTGAGTGGTGTCTGTCACATTGATCAGAATATTTAATACTTGTATATTCTTACAGACTTTTTAAATTATGATCTACCAATTACTGAGAAAGGATTATTAAATACTCCATATATAATTGTTGGATTGCCTATTTCTCCTTTCAATTTTATCTGTTTCACATCATTTTTTGGGGGGGCTCTAGTAATAAATAGGTACCTCTACATCTTATATGATATCTTTTGTGTATATTAATAGTTTAATTGTTATGGTGTGTCCTTCTTTGTTTCTATAATATGTCCTTTGTTAAAATCTAACATGTGTGATATCAGTATAGCCTTTCCCATTCTCCCATGATTATTATATTTATGAGGCATCTTTTCATCCCATTCAGTATATGTGAATCTAATTTTTTCTCCTAGAGATTGCATATAAATTGGAACTTACTTTTTTATGGTCTAATGATTTCTGCTTTTTGATTGGAGTATTGAGTTGATTCATATCATTAGATTATGTTTTCCGTTTTGTGATTTGTTTCTTATAATACTCTTGTCTATTTTCTCCTCATTTCTCTATTCATGCATTACTGACATTTTTTGTTAAGGAAATATTTTTGATATTACCATTTTAACTCTTCTGTTGATTTTTAGTAATATCTTGGGGAAAATTTTTGAAGTGTGGTTACCTTAGGGATTACAAGATTCATCTTTAAGTTATACAATCTCAGGCTAATGCTGATTTAAGTTAAATATAGTAACTAATACATCTCCATTTTCTTATTTTTTTAGTGTTATTATTATATGTATATTCAGTATATATTATAAACCAATGAAAATTATATTATAATTATTACTTTAAATAATCTTATGTTTATAAAGAAATTAATAGCAGAAAAAGAGAAACAATCTTAAATCTTTGACATTTATCCATTTCTAATTTTCTTCATTTCTTTCCATGATCCTAGTTATTATCGGATATAATTTCCCTTTATCTTATAGGATTAAAATTTAGTATCTCTTATAGCACAAGTCTGCTATCAAAGAGTGTTTTAACTTTTTGTTCACTTGGAAGTATCATTATTTTATTTTTGAACAATAGTTTTATTGGATTTGGAATTCCTGGTGGCCTTTTTATTTACTAAACTATTCCGTGCTTGGAATATATTTCCCAAATGCTTGCTGGATTACATTGTTACATTGCTAATCATATCATTATTCTTTTGCACATGGTGAAATCACTTTCTCTTGCGATTTCAAGATTTTTTTCTGGTTTTGTCTCTCAGCAGTTTGACAATGCTGCATCTCCATGTGGTTCTCTTTGTGCTCAGATTTATTGGGTGATTGCTGATCATTTTGGATCTTAAGCTTGGATCTTAAGATTTTCATCAAATTTGGAGAGATATCAGCTACAGATTCTTCTATTATTGATCTCTATCTTCCCCTTATCTTTTGCTAGGATTCCCATTACATATATTTTGGAAAGTTTAATATTAGCTGGTAAACCTCTGAGGGTCTGTTCATTTCTCTTCATTTATTTCTTCCTGGTCTTCAGATTTAACGATTCCTATTAATCTATCTGGAAATTCCTTTTTTTTTTTTTTTTTGCAGTTTTCATTTCGGTTATATTCTTCGATTCTAGAATTTCCATTAATTCTTTCATACAGTTTCAATTCCTTTGTGGGGCCATATTATTTGTTGACTAGTTAGCGTATTTTCCTTTCACCTTTTGAGCATAGTTTTCTTTAGTTCCTTGAATGTTATT